CTTCAATTGAAAATTCTCAACGGTCATTAGCGATTATGTGAAATTTTTTCACTCATTAGATTAATAATAGCTAATTTACATTTAATGAGTGTACAACTCACTGTGGAAAATTATCATTTAGTGTTTCTATTCATAATGGAAGGTCATTTTTTAACCTTGCCTTCACAGAATAAAATGTTTGAGTTGAGAAAAGATACTATGGCAATTGAAGAATCATCATTAAAATAATGAATATGCTGAAAAAGAGAATAAAAACTTCAGATTGGATTCTAACACAGATTTGAAATTTATGAAATTATAAAATAATATCGCCAAATTGAGATCAGTTATACCCTTGATCAACGTATGTGGATGTGCTGAGGATATGAGAGAATACAGGATGAATACTTGTTTAAATCAGAAATTCTCGAACAGTAATCAACTGAATCTTGTTTTCAAATTTTTGTGGCATCTTAGGCTACATTAATATTTAAAATATATCTCACAATATATAACAGCTGCGCATGTCAGTATAAAACATCAATACTTATCTTTATAATGTACGTTAGGAGTCATAGTTACGATCACACGGGGGGGCTGGGGCCAGTTAGGCCCTCAGAACGAACACACCCTGGCGTTGGATGCAGTCGGGTGTGGTGGGGTGGATTTTCGGGAAATCCTTGCGGGTACCGCCCTACGACCCACACCAACAGGATTTCGCAGGGCTTCCTCCCGCTCACCGAACCCGGAATTGCTTCCTTACATCTACTTAGTGTGGCTAACCAAGAGACAGGACCATCGGTAGCGTTCGACCGAACGTTCGTACAAGTTAACTTCGCTCTTATTTCGCCAGAGAGTGCTCGCGTCGCACACCTGCCCCCGCTAACCTGCCAAATCAAGTGGAAATATCGTCCCGGAAGTGGCAAGTCGAGATCCTAAGCTCGGATACTAGTAGCTCCGTCCATCCGGGCCCGACACCTCGAACGTCTGCTGCCTTGGTGCCTTCCAAGGCTATACTCGGATACTAGTTTCCCATTGGATGGACCGCAAGCCCCGACACCTCGAACGCTTGGATCTATACAGAAGCAGGTGAGGATCACAGAACAGCACAAGCTGTCCAGTGCCTCAGTAAGGGGCACTGCATGAATGGATCACCGCACCCCGTCCTGTTTACCTGCTAGCTGAGCCGCTGCCCCTAAGAGGCCAACGCCAATTGGAGATGAGGCTCGCTAGCCTCCAGCTTCGAGCGGGCACTTCATCTCCCCCCTAGGAAGGCGAAGGAAAGTTCCCTTTCCAACATTTGAAGAATTACCGTCGAGGACTCTTTCGAGCACCCTCTACCACACATCTTATGTCGAAGACGTCACGCCTATTGCCGGTTAAGGTGCGGGATAGGGCGGTTCGCCAACAACTTTTGAGTGTACGCCGTGTGGTCTGCACCGCATACCCTTACCCCGAGGGGCACTCATGTTAGGAAAGCTACCTTTCCAACGTTGGATGAGTAACCGTCGAGGGCTCTTATTGCGAGACACCCCTCCCACACAATTGAATCAAATATGTTACAGTATCAGAGTTATTGGATCCTACCTCAATGAAAAATCACTAAAAATTAAATATTCTGCGAATTTTGAATCTTCGCTTAAATTTGGTATAACATTCTGGGGAAGCAGCAGTAATACCTCTGATATATTCCTTATCAAAAAAAGAATTATGAATACTGAACTGAACTGAACTACATTATATGCGATCTAATATCTATGAGAGTGTAGTATACCTATTTGAAAATAAAAGTAGATTTTTGGAATCTAGACTAACTCATAATTATCCTAAGGGCAATATGAATATATCTTTTCCGATTCACAAATTGACAGTGTCAGAGAGGCATCCATCCTATGCGTCTAGAAGATTTTTCAATAAATTATCACAGAGACTTGAAATGTTAGAGAGCCTGAAGAATTCAAAATAGGTGTCAAAGATCTCTTGATCAAGTTAGAACCTTATTCACTTCAGGAATATCTAGATAATTTATAAGCCTTTATGTAGAAATTGTGTGACGTTGTTTCATTTTAAGTTTGATGTTTTCTTTATGAAATGTAGAGCATTCTCTGAAATATATTAATATTATTATTATTATTACCTTCTTATCAAATTTTGGAAAATTATTTTTACGTCTGATGCTTTGTTTTAATTTTTCCCAAATCAATCCAATGGGATTGAAAACACAAAAATAGGGAGAAAGTCTCAGTATGGTGAGTCACACTCGTTATTACTTATGCGAACAGTCCCGGCATTTCAACCGCCACAATTTTTATACTTGGGCATAATGAAATTATATTGGGGAAAGTAAAGAAAGATTTGGATTCAGTTTGTGGGCTGATGTTTTCAGGGGTAGAATTATCGACCCGATCATTTATAATGACACTCTCACATCTCAGAGGTATTTAGAGATTTTAAGGCAAAATATTGAACCCCTTGTTGATAAATTCCCAGTAATGGAGCTCAGAAAAATATATTTTCAACAAGACACAACACTTCAATAGTCACCAATTTTTTTGCTTCAAATTTTGGTAATAATTGGATAGCCAACCAACGACCCAACCGTTGATTGGCAGGTCACCGGACCTAACACCTATGGACTTTTATCTCTAGGGAAGGTTGAAAGATCTTATTTTTGGATTGCTGACCAATTCTAGATACGAATTGGAAGCGGCAGTGATGCAAAGTTTTGCTTCTCTCACTCCTATTGAACTAATCAATTCGGCAAAAAAACGTTCAGAAAAGGTGTCGCCGCTGTGTGTAGGAGAAGCTGATAGACATTTCGAACACCTTCTCTGAAGAAATATATTTCATTGTTTGTTCTCTATCATTATCATTATTATTGTTGAAGTTTCATAACTTGTTATCAATTTTATTGAAGTAATGTTTTTTGATTACTGCTGTGAAAAGCTTTCTCAACATTTGCTAGCTACCACTGAACAATTTCTTTCTGTCTTATTGTCGCGTCGTCCAAAGCCTACTTGATCAAAGTGTGCGTTTGAAAGTCTACATTAAAAAAACCTTAAAAGCACTGTATTTCGAAGATGTCTCTAGCAAAACATCAAGCGTGCTACACTTTTAGAAATGAAATTTTAAGCTCTATTGGAATATGCAGGAATATACAGGAAGTCTTATTAAAAATAACTTTCTTTCAATAACTATTGATATCTCATTTGAACAAACAACTTTTTCACAGTATTGAATTCTACGTAAAAAAGTGCTTCGGAAATGTTTTCATAGAAACAAGAAAGTTTTGACAGGAAAAAAGTTACAGCAACTTTTAAATTAAACAATGTGCTGTCATGTTTTAACTTTATACACAAAGTGAATTAGCCTACTCGGGTGCAGGGAAATAGCCTTTTCACAATAGATAATATTTTTATTAATTTCCATAACAATGGAGTTACTGCTGTTTTAGAGAATAATATATCTGACCACAGATATATTTTCTATGAAATTTCGGAAATCACCCAAAACACGCGAGACACTTCTCGTTCCATACAAGAATATATAATGATGAATCTCACAAGAATTTCGGAACAGCACTCCGAAATAAAAACTGGAGTTAACTTTATCAAATTAATAATATTGACCATGCATATGATATTTTTATACGAATATTCTTCTATTATTTTGACATTAGTTATCCATTACGACGGTTGTGTAGTAGACCTAACGTTAAAAAATCGGTGGACATGGATGTCAAAATATCTAGTTGTAAGTTGAAGGATCTTCATTTACTGAAAAACAAATACCTGGTGCTGGCTGATTTTTACAGAGAATTACAAAAACGACACTCTTGGCTTTTAGAATCTAAAAAGAAACAATAGGTAGATACTATCAAAATAATATTCTCAACTCTGATGATCCGGGTAAAACTGCCTGGAAAGTAATATCCGAAATAAACAATAAAACAAACTTTCATCTTTCCACTATGTCACCTATGTCCACCTATGTTCAGAAATCTCAAAGTTGTTTCAACACAGCAACAATTAATAAACTTATACTACGCCCAAGTGGAAAGTCGACTGAGGTATGGTATTTGCCTATGGGGAGACTCTACACTGTCGAATAACGTCCTCGTATCACAGAAAAAAAATCATTAGGTGTATTGCTGGTGTAAAAAAAAAGACTATTTTGTCAAAAAATCTTCAAAATATTTGAAATTCTGAGCTGTACAGGCCTCTACGTATTTGAAATCTGTATTTATGTGTTCAAAAGTAGGGATTTGTTTTTCATAAATAAAGATTTCCACGAATACAATACACGTCGTAAGAATGATTTACGATTACCACTCTATAAACGCAATATTTTCTATTAAGCTCCAGCTCGAATCGGCGCAAAGATTTTCAACAACTTACCTTCCTCTAACAAAAGTTTAAAATATGAACGTATTTTCAAAAAAAACTCAAAGGATACCTGGTTGAGAAATGTCTATACTCTTTAAATACTATTAACTTGAACTTTCATTTGATGTGAATCTGTATTTTTATGTAAGTCAATATTCTGTGTACTATGTATATGCATATTTATTATGTAAACATGTTTTTCGTAGTGTTATTGTATAATCCTCAATGTACTGTTAGTTTTCTTTTGTACATTTCTTCATTTAAATCCCGACCGTACTACCATGCGGTTTTAACCATGACTATTTCTTATACAACTGTATGTTGTCTTAAAGAAATAAAGTGATTTGATTTAATATGATTTGTGCATGTTTACTTTAAAAATATTTCAATTTCGGAAAAAAAATTTCGTGCCATTACCACCAGAGTGTGTGTAAATTGTTATGGTTATTGTTAGATAAGTGTATAAATCCCGGCAAATTATAATAGGAGAGTTGTGTCTGGTCCTTGTCATTCCTTCCATCACCAAAAAATTTGACGAAGAATCCTTCCGACACGTTACAGACAAGAAAACAAAGAACACCGCTGCCTCTCGAAGACATCGGCATTCAGCAGACCGCGGTCACCATGGAAACTCCTTGAGTCTTCCAGTCTCGGCGCAAAGCTGTCATGGTCGAGGCGATGCGGATGCATGCCGGTGCGATTCACGCCATCCTCGATTTGTCTGTCAGTTGTTTCCGCACCGAGGCTCGCAGTGCAGTCGGTCGAAATAGCGAAAAGCGCGCGCGATAGAATTCGCCCCGTTTGAGAATTTAGAGTGTTTCGTTGTTTTTTTTTTGACAGACACTGAAAGACTTCAGGCGGTCGCGGAGCTTTGAGGTGGGTTTCCTTGTTTTCAGGTAGGGCGCGAGGCTGATGTTTGTTTTTTTCCGGGCATGATGTTTGTAGGTTAAGTTTGGGTTTTTGATCGATTTTTGGAGGGAATCCAAAACAAGCACCGTTCCCAAACACCACAGGTTACAGTCTCACTTTCATTACTGGAAGAAGAAATGGAATTATTCGTTTTTCGAATTCGACTTGGAACTGATTCGGTTACCGGCAATAAGAATGTCGATTTGTTTTCGAATTGTTCCCACCTTTTTATTTCTTGATCTCACAGAAGAGCAATATTATTCACCCTATCCATTTTTCCAATGAAATATTTCCTGGCGATATTTTCTCTAATGTAAGGTATATTATATTATAACTCTATTTTTGATGACTTCTAATTTTTTTAAACTCTTGCTTTAGCTGTTTGGCGAATTGTACTTAACTGATGGTTGACGAAATCTGACGTCTGTCAAAGAGACAGACGTTAAAGTAACTTCAATTTTCTGTGACCTGATGTGTACGGCATGATTAAAATCTGAGAACAAAACAAGAAGATCTACAATCGATTGATCCAATAAAAAAACACTTCCTAGTTATTTTGCTGCTTCTCAATCTTGTAGGATTAGCTGGTAGTACAGAATTTCACCATGGATGGATCGCTAATAGGCGATCCAACACCAACTATAACCGTTCATTGTTGAAATGGTTCATACAACTGTCAATAAGAGTGAAACGTTGATATATATTGACGATATATGGCTTTACAATACATACAGAATCATGAAGTCACAGACCTGATCACCTCAAACACAGAGACCCTACCAAATTGTCCTTTCTAAACATGAAAGTGAATAGAACCGACTACAGATGAGATGGTCTTTGAATTACGAATGAAGTTTCCATCAATTCCCTGAGTCAGTCTCAGCAATACCAAAAAAGTCTCAAAAAGTAAATGCTCAACAAGTAAATGAGATATCTTCGATAGAATTGATATTCCAAGAAGCTGGTACAACTGGTATCAGCCGAACAAAAAGAGCTTTACAGGAAAAAAATAACATTTACAACTGGTTTGATTTTTTTATACACAAAATAACTATTGTTTCGGATAAACTGGATTCAGGTATGGCATTAGATAATGTCACAAAATCTGTATTAGGCTGTTCAAAATAAAGTCATCTGAATTGTGAACAAATGATTGCATTCATCATGTTAATGAGAAAAGACCTACATGTAATCGAGAGGCTGTCGTAGGTCCCAAATGGACGAACACAGAATAAACACCCAGCGAGAAAGACCGAATAAGGATCCGTTAAGCCAGAAATGTTCAGATTGTTAGGTTAGAGATATTATGTTGGACCCATCGATATAACATCAAATATACCAAAGCTGTGTTTATCTATAAGAAGGGACACTATATAAACAACGATGTATTCATCCAGATCGGCCGACAAAATGAGTAACAGTAAACAGAGCCTAACAAGTGATATGGAATATTTCGGAACGAATCAGTCATAAAAAAAACCGAATGATTTCACAAAGTCTTGAAGCAATTCGATTTGAATGATCATATTACAACTGACCGAGCCACTATTCAATCCATATGGATTAATTGGTGCCATCCCTTCCCATTAGATGGCACCACGTAGAATTTTTGCGGTTCAGTTAGAACTTGATCATATTCGTTAAGGATCAAATATAGTTGGGTTGTATATTCCAATAGGAGGTCTAATGAATGGAATATATCAAATATGTCAAATATTTGATAATCTGGTCTCCACTCACTTCTTTTCGAATATGGTCAATTCGAACAAAATTTCAGACATTGGAAAACCTAACCTCCAACTTTCGAAAGAAAAAAATACTGACCACTGTCAAACCAAGATCGTTGGAAGTTGTTGGAAAATATAATGATGTCTTTGGTGACGTTTTTAAAAATGTTCATCTTACGATTCTGTTAAAACCACAAAAGTATAAGATCCCCATTCTACAATCTCCGTTGGGTCCTCCTATCTGCATTTGCATTTAACTAGATTTCAAAACTTGCCTAGATGGGAACATATACGTTCACGGCCAGAGTCACCAGTCCAGGTTGGTAGGCTGTGGTCGGATGAAAACTGAAGAACCAAATGTTTCGTCTGCTAGTCCGGCAGACATCATCAGTGGAATGTACGTTAACGGCGAGAACTGACAGACAGGCCGTTATTGCTTGTACTTCGAAATATAACATCTCCGTCAATGTACTGATGATGTCGCAGTGGCAGACGAAACATTTGTTGACATTTTTATGACATCCTATATAATTTTTTTTTCATGTGTGGTTTGTACAGGTTCTCTTTCAGATGTTAAATTCTCACAAACCTATTTTAGATGTTACATTTGCGTGTTGCGTAAAGAGCTGCCGCCGTCTTTGCATTACCTGCAGCTAGTTTTTTGTTATATAACCATTATTTTGTTCAGGTTACATCTGAATAGATAGTGTCCTTAGCCAATTTCTGTTCTGGTTGAGTTATGTTCTGACTTCATCCCACATCAATAATGATTCAGTATATATGATATCAATAAGATTCATATTTGGAGTTCATGCTCTGTGTCTGGCACTTTCATCAGCTTTCTTATTTTCTGTGAATCCTGAGTATCCGGTATCAATCTGTTTTTATCCACCAGTTGTTTAATTTTCAGACTAGTATCGATGCCATTTTTGGGTTCATTAAGATCCTGAATGCGACCTGGATGGGTCAATTCACACAGAATGGTCATTCCTAATGCCTCTCGTCTACTGGGAGCGAAAAGCTGCGAACTGGCAAGCAACGAACTCGTGCGAACGCTTTTCATACGAAATCGTGCGATGCATATCGTCCATTGCTTCGTTAGTATTAGCCCGAATTCGCAGTAGGTGAGATGGTTCTTTGGAACGGGTTTTTGATTATCCTGATGACGAATTTTTCGCTTTCGAGTTATCTTTTTTGATTCATCGTTGTGTCAGGCACAGGCGATATCGACGAAGGCGGGAAAAGGAGTTCGGTGAACTTTCTCATTTGTGGCATGATCTTCAAATTCACGATGACCACCACTTCAATACATTATTGTAACTATTTCCGCACTAGATGACAATCAAATCCCAGCAGAACGGGATCGGTTGGCAATTCGCACCTAGTTGGACGAAAACTGACGAACGATACGAGCCAAATGGACGCGGTTCCTTACCGATCCATGTGTTTGGATCGTTCGTGCATTGTCGTACGTGCCTCAAATCTTAGAGTCGTCATAATGCGTGACGATATTGAATATAACATTTAATTTGGTTAGATTGTATTATTGTGAAATCATAGTGAAATAAAAGTGATTTCGAAAATGTAAATCAGTTTCTATTTATTTGAAAAATTCTTCATTGAATTTAAATTGGAAAAAGTTGAAAGCTAATTGGATGAAAACTTAAATAAAGAACTCTTGCAATGAATATGATTAGTTAGTCAGTATCAGTTTTCTCAAGTACCAAAATGTACCTATTCTAAACATTTCAGTCAAGTGATATTCACCATTCTATTTCATATTCAAAAACACTTCAATGTGAGATTTTCACTTGAAAGTTTGCAAAACTGCAACACGTTTTTCGCTATACGATACCCGAAAAAATTTTCGAATCATCATTCATATAGGTGATGACTGACTCTACAGGGTAGCCTCCAATACCACGAAATGAACAAATATTATTTATTTATTGATTAGGGGTAACTCTGCACTTGAAAGAACAGGAATATATTGAATGGAAGTCATTTTTTGAGAAGGAAAGGCAGTTTTTTATTGACCTTTCACAATCTGAAAAATATGAAAATTGTAATGGAGATTTTTATATAAGTGTAGAAAGGACAAACTTTTAAGTTTACTCTGATAAGTTACAGCGTAAATTAGAAGTATTTTTCAGAAAGAAAAATTTTCTATTTATCAGTAACTTGTATTCAATAATTTTGCCTATTACCAAAAAATAGCTTAGATATAATATAATACTCATACTGATATGCCTCCGTCTTCAGAAATGTATTGATTAGTTTTTTTTTTATAAATATTTCCACCAAACTTTGGGACCGTTCTAGCGAGTCTCAACAAAAGATGTTTCAAAATGTTCCATATTCTAGTATATGGTACTTGAGATGCGAGATGAAGGGGAACCCATAGCCATGCCAAATTATTGTTGATAGAAATAATCTCCATATTGAAAATAGGTTTTGTCTATAAATCATCTTAAAAGTTCTAGTATAGAACTAACATCCATATTCGTTCGATGTTTCAAAGTTGAGTCATTTTCCAACCTGGATCTTCCAATCAGACGAGTATTATCAACAGGAATATTCGTTGAAAGACTTTCAACTTTGAAGCTCACCAGAACATCACCATCACTTTTTGGGTATTCAAACTACGAATGTTCAATTAGAAATATAATATACCTCTAAGACAAATAATTATCATTCAAAAAATTCACTGCACGCTACTTCGAAAGGTAGAGTGAGTTTCTGGGTTGGGGTATAACAGATATCCAAGTATCAAACCGTTATATGGGCGAATCATTTACTCACAAGATTTGTTCATTTTATTGGTTTGTATTGTCAGAAATCCATACCAGTTTAGATCAAAATTTTGAAAACTACTTTATTGAAAACAATGGATATATAGCAAAATAATAGACCTCACCTAAATGCCTGGATCTTTTATGCAAATTCAAGCCAATAAATACATCGAGGCAATTAATCAAATCAACTGAGGCGAATCATTGTATTGTGCGAGTTGTGACGGTATGTTTACAACGTTGATAATTAGTTATGAAATATAGCTTAACATCCTGCTGTCGTCACCTGATAATTATGCCAGGTTTATTTTATACCGGAAAATGTTATGCCACCGACGTGGTAGGCTACCTTTTTCTCCTTACCTTACGTCATTGAAACTATAACTTCATGCATCTGAAGTATGTACAGTGTGCGACGGAGTTATGAAAATAGTTGAGCTATTTTTTTATTCAATTACCCAATTGTTG